ACGAAATATGTGGTACTTTTTAAGATTATTTCTTTTCGATCCATGACATTGTCGGGCAATATCATGGGAACCTAGGTGATTTACGAAATATGGGGTACTTTTTAAGATTATTTCTTTTTGAAGAGTGATTCTATGATGGACCTAAACTTTACATGCACATACCTTCTCACATTTTTTTTAAATTTTAAAAATACGTATTTCACCATTCAAAAATATTTATTTTGCATATATATATATATAAAGATGTACCACACGTCCACACACCTTAGATGCATGTCATAATTTGCACTTTTTGTAAGACTGGCATTAATTAATTTCAAATCAGTTCTTTAAACACATTCTATTTGTGATTCATTAATTCATGTTAACAATGCTAGTACGAGCGTACAATTATAAAACTTCCCCCCTTACTAAATACGGAGTAACATTTAATTTTGACTTCTTATATATACTACAAATTGAATGAATATGGACACACATTATAAACAGATTTGTTTGCTTTTAAATACTACTAGTATCGCACCCGTGCGTTGCACGGGTCATTTTTATGTTATTAAATTCAAATCATTTTTCAATGATAAAAAATGAGATACAATAAAAAATAGAGATTATATTATTTTAAGGTATAAAACATCACTGCTTTAAGAGGTAATAATGTATAAAAATTATACTCCCTCCATCCGGAAATATTCTTACCGTGTTGACTTGACACGCTTATTAAGGAATAGTAAAAAAATGCAAAATTTTCAAAAATGCACATACTATAAACTTTTAAATCTCCTTTTATTATTAAAAAAGTGCTAAAAAAGAAAATTAGTGATAAAATAGAAGGTTATTATTGAAATTTATCCTTAAAAAGCATACTAAAAAAGGAAACGTGAAGAATATTTCCGGACAGACCAAAATGGAAAATGAGAAGAATATTTTCGGGCGGATGGAGTACTAAAAAATTGACATTATTAAACGCTATAAAAGGTAATAACAATAAAACATATAAGTTTGATAATTGCAAGTGTTTTTTCATAATTAAATTCTCATATCTTTCCACGGCTCATTATTATTTCCATAATATATGGTACAATAAACGCACTTATGTTTCTCTAATGATTTGTATTCTTACCATTTTTAGCCTACGGTTTTTAGTACTATTCCAATGAAATATCCATAATAGTAATCAACCGTTGATCAAGATGTCAACTCTAATCAATGGTTCACAATGACACATTGTTTGGGCGGGAAAAGCTGGGCCAAAATTCCCCTGCTTTTAAGTATAGATAGATACTAGTGCCAACCTCGTGCATCGCACGGGCTCGTATATATTCTGAATTGCTGACATGCTCTTAATGTAATTTTCTTTATTTTAATTTTATACTCCGTAATAATTATATAATACTCTGTATGTGTTATATAAATGTTTTATGTAAATATGTATATATTTAAAATTTTTATAATAATGTTTTTGAGAAATACTAAAATAAAATTAATGATGGGTACTTTTAAAATTTATATACAATGTTGTTTTTATAATTATATCACTCTCTCTGTCCCAATTTAAATTGTCTGTTTTGGTTTACGATGTTTGACTGAAGTTATTTCCAATGCAATTTATTAGAGAATTGAAGCAAGATTAAAAAGTTAACTTTACATATTAAAAACTACATCAAAAACTCTACAAAATAATAGGTGACAAGACCATATTATTTTATCAAAATTATGTTATAAAAATTTGAAGGTTTTATTAATCTTTAATATTAATAATGATTATTTTGTGTTAGAAAGTGAAGGATTTTATAAAGAATTTGATAAAATTAATTCTTATTTAATGGTTAACACGTACTCTATGTTATTGGCGCATGTGTTTAGGCATTATCGATAATGAATTTTTTAAATCTATTAGAAATGCACGAATGATTGTTTACAAATAAATTAAACTTTAATTGTAATGAATTTTCATACTCCATAAAAAAGTTGTCTTAAAAAAATAAAGTGAAATATATAAAAAAAATTGCAAAGATAAAAGATATCATAATATAAAAAATATAGTACTCTCTTCGTCACATCACATCAAAGGACATTTTTGAAAATTCAATACTAAAATACACTCTCTTAAATCTCTTCAAAAAGCAAAACATCCCATGTTTCATGGGACGGAGGGAGTATATAATACATATGATGATTCTTGTAAACTCTTTTAGACTTTCGATTAACTTTGTTTGCGTGTACTTTTTCATTTGTCACTTGATAAAATAAACTATGGAGTAATCTTGTCAACACTTGTTTTTTAGCATTTTTATATACGGAGTACTTTTTAAATATATACTTTCTCCGTTCTCAAAAACACTTCCTCTTTCATTTTTTTTCACTTTCAACAAAACACTTCAACTTTCTATTAAAAAACCATTTTTACCCTTACTTTTTCATACCCTACCTATCACATCATACTTTTTTTCTAATAATCTACCAATCACATCTTACTTTTACCCATCACATCAAAGGCAAAATTGGAAGTCAACTAAAATTTAACACTTCCTTATTTTTCCACTTTTTCAAAGTAGGAACTCTTTTTGAGAACGGAGGTAGTATAAGTTATACTTTTACTTGAATACCAATTAGTAAATAAAATCATTTTAAAATGGATGAATTTTATACTCTCTCCGTTTTCACAAACACTTCTTTTTTAATTTTTTTCCACTTCCAACAAAAGACTTCTCTTTTCTATTAAAAAACTACTTTTATCCTTACTTTTCATACCCTACCTATCACATCATACTTTTTCTCTAATAATCTATCTATCACATCTTACTTTTACCCATCACATCAGGGGCAAAATTGGAAATCAACTACTCCCTCCGTTCCTTTAAACCCTTCCAGTATTGACTTTTGGAAAAAATAAGGAAAGTGTAATTTTGGTTGACTTTCTAATTTTGCCCCTGATGTGATGGGTAAAAGTAAGATGTGATAGTTTGGTTATTAGTGAAAAAGTATGATGTGATAGGTAGGGTATGAAAAAGTAAGGATAAAAGTGGTTTTTTAATAGAAAGTGGAAGTGTTTTAGGGAATTCAAAAAAAACGAAAGAGGAAGGGTTTTGTGGAACGGAGGGAGTATAATTTAACCCTTCCTTATTTTTGCCCCAAATCAAAATGGGAAGGGTTTTTCCAAACGGAGGGAGTACATTGTTCGAAACAGGAGATGCATGTTTCGGTGAGTGATTTTCGGTTAGTGATGTTCGACTGATGTTATTTTCAAATCATTTTGTATGAAAAATGTTGTAGAATTAAAAAATAAAAATTACATATTTAAAAACTATATCAAAAGATCTACAAATGACTATATTATTTTATCTAATGATTAACAAAAATAGGGAAAAAGTGAATCAAGTTTAACCTTCTGAATAGTAAATATGCAATTTAATTTCAGACAGAGGGAGTAACATATACAATTGTTAAAATATGAAAAGAGTACTTAAATAAAAGAAGACGTCTCCCTGGATAAGAGTAAAAAGTTTGAAAATCTCAAAATAGGATTCCTTGTTTTTCTAACTAAAATAAGATATAATGACAATATGGTGTAAGAATACGTATTGGAAGTATGATGGAAATTAAAAGTGATGACACTGTAATATGTCAATGTGATAAGTCAATCGTCTGAGCACAGACACTAAGTGTCTATTTTTGGCGTGGTGTACCTCAAGTGGTGTTCACCAAGCTTTTCCCTAAAAATTTACTCCCTCCGTTTCCTAAATAAACTTTCGTTTTTGACTTTTTGAGGCTTTAAGGGAGGGATATTTTTGTGTTGACTTCCCAGAAATACCCTTGATGTGATGTGTAAAAGTAAGATGTGATATGTAGATTATTACTCCGTAGTAAAAAGGTATGATGTAAAAAAGTAAGAGGTAAAAGAGATTTTTTAAGGGAAAAGAGAAGTTTATGTAGAGACAAAGAAAAAACGAAAGAGGAAGTTTATTTAGGAACGGAGGAAGTATCAAAGATTATTAAGGGTTTTATGAAAATGTTTTTTTCCCTCTCACAACCAAGGGTTAACTAAACAAGAGTTAAGTAAAGACCAGCTTCTCGAGATCATCAAGTTGAAGTAAAGACTAACTTGGACTAACTTCTCGAGATATCCCACAAGCCTTTTTTTTTCTTCCTCACAAGTAGAACCCCGACCCTTGTGAAACGAGTTCATGTCCATAAATAAAATAAAATAAGTGTAATTTTTCTCATACTATACAAGCAAACTAATTATTCCGCATATTTTTATATTAGTTCCAACTCCTAAATTTTTTTCAATTTGGAACAATGAGGAATTTAGGAAATGTGTAACTTTAGTGTTATTTTTAAATTTTCCCTTATTTTATATTATGATAAGATATTAATAATGTGATGAATAGATTGATAACTAAAAAGAGAAAGGAAATTTTGAACGGAAATAGAATTGTTTTTTTGACATAGATAAAGACAAAAGCAAAAGTAGAAAAACAATTGGTGATAGAGGGAGTAATATTTACCAAAGTTTCCCACAAAGAAAGATAAGAACAAGCTTGAATTGACGTCAAAGTTAGAGTTCTTCTAACAAATTAAAGTCTTTTAATTTACTAAACCACCAAAAGCTAAATTACCAAAATAGTTCATTATATTAAACATCTAATGACTTCAATAATTCACAAAATTAGAGAAGCATCATACACATTATATTGACAACATATATGCATAATGGGTCATAAATAGAATATAATTTATAAACTAACTTAATAACACTCTCACAAAGTTATATTATTATCTTTCCCATAGGGAATATACATATAGCAGAAAGAAAGGGAACAAAGTAATTAAGAAGGTCTAATATAATTTGAAGAACATGCAGCAGCAAATTAATTAAAGAAAACCAAAGCAGCAACATTAACACACACACACACACACACACACACACACACATATATATATATATATATATATATATATATATATATATATATATATATATATATATATATAATATGACTGCAACACCTCTCATCCCACATTCCTTTGCCCATTTTTGCTCTATATCTGATCTGAAGCAATAACAAAAAAAAGAAAAAAAGAAAGAAATTTAATTAAACCCTAATAAAGTTTAAAATAAAGAAAGTGAATTGGAAGTGATGAAGAAGAGGAAAAAACAAGAACCAAATGAGAGTAGAGCTAATTAAGGCGAGGTGCGGAGTAAGCAGTAGGATTCTCCATGCTGTAGGGGATGGAGAGTGAAGCCCCACTCGTTAGTGACCACCGCCTGGCCGGTGGCGTAATGGAACAGCACCGCCCCGTCGCCGAACGCCTCCCGGAGGTTGAATGGCCCCGCCGGCACCTCAAATGCCATCTCGTTTATCATCACCGTCACCTTTCCCTCCCCTTTTGTTTATCAAAACACAAAAACACCACATCATCTTCTTCTTCTTCAGTGTAAATTAATAGTTAGTCTCATGCAGAAATATGAATATAATGTACCTGGGAAAGGTGGGGGAGGAGGAGGAAGAGAAAGGGAAGAAGAGGGAAATTGTTGGTTGAAATTCCCCATGAGATGGGTGGCCGGAAAACCACCATAAGAAGGGTTCCCAACAGTGAGAAGCTCAGTGAAAGAAGCTTCCGGGAGGTCGTCATCGATGGCGGTGGCTGCGTGGAAGCCGAACCCTTGAGTGAAATGCGCCGCGGATGAAGAAGCACCGCCGCTGCCATCAAGAGGCGTGGCGTCGGGGTACACGAACGGGGGAAGCTCGGCGAGATACTCGGTCTCGGCGGGAGGGGACTGGATGTACGAGCCGGGGTTGTTGTTCCCGGAAGACGAGGAGGACGATGCGGTTGAGGTTGTCGAAACTAGGGTCATCCCCGGGGCGGCGAAGGCGGTCAGCGGCGGCTGAAGAGGAAGAAGAGGAGGAGGAGGAGGAGGGTTTTGCTGCTGCTGCTGAAGGGGCGGTGGGTCGGCGGACCGCCGCTGCTTGCGCTGGCGGTTCTTGCTCCTAGATTTCCGGTTCTGGAACCAGTAAAAGACGCTGGAATCCGCCACCTGGCCGTACTCCTCAATCCGGGCCCTAATCTTCATGATGTCCTCCCGCATCGGAGTCACGAGGCCGGAGTTGAAAACGGCCTCGAGTATCCGAATCTGCTCCGGCTTCGGGTTCCACCGCTCCTTCAGTTCTGGCACCCTCTCCTCGGTGGACCCCACCGACGGCCCAGATCTGGAGGAGGAGGAGGGGTTGTTCTTGTCCCCAACTCTCAACGCCTTCTTCCCTCCGCCGCCGCCGCCACCACCTCCGCCCTTGGCCTTGAACATGCTCGGCCAGTGTTTATTATTATTAGATGAAGTCATTCTCCTCCGATCCGGCCCACCAACTCAGATCTAGACAACCCAGATCGATTCAAAACGAAATGTTAGAAATGAAACAAAAAAAGAGAGAGAGAATAGTACAGTGCAATAATAGAAGATGTATGAAGGTAGCCATACCCTGTAGGGTGGGGTGGGGGGGGGGGGAGTCAAAAGTACAATCAACCTGCAGGATAGAAACAAAGAGAACATTGAAAGATGCTGCTGCCTGGGCTTATATTAGAATCTTCTTTCATCAGACTTTCTGATGAGTTAGAGAGAGAAATAAATTAAGAGAGAGAGAGAGATTACACAGACTGCAGGGAGGCAGGCAGGCAAGTGGGCCGGGTCGAAGTTGTAGCAGCTACGACCCAGTAGTGATGATGACGACGATGATATATATGGGATTGTGTTTTTTTTCTTTTCTTTTTTTCTTGTTTCAGAATTAAATTTTCTTCTTCTTTCTTCTTCCCGAAAAGGAAAAAAGAAAAGAAAAGAAAAGAAGGTATAGGGTGACAATGGTGTGGATGTAAGTGTATGATTAAATATGTATTCTAATGAAAGTGTGGCAGTGGATTAAATAGGGCTGTGCCCTCAAGGGGTGTAACCTTTTTAATTCCCCTCCTCCTTCTTCCTCCTCTCTTTTATTTTTTTAAAAATAAATACTCCCTCCCTTCTAAAAAAAAGTTCATACTTTGAAAAAGTAGAAAAATAATGAAGTGTTAAATTGTAGTGAACTTCCAATTTTACCCTTGATGTGATGGGTAAAAGTAAGATGTGATGGGTAGATTATTAGATAAAAAGCATGATGTGATAGGTAGGGTATGAAAAAGTAAGGGTAAAAGTGGTTTTTAAATAGAAAGTGAAAGTGTTTTGTTGGAAGTGAAAAAAATGAAAGAGGAAATATTTTTAAAAACGGAGGGAGTAGAGAGTAAAATAATAATGGGTGGGTGATGAGGGCAGGGCAGACTGACCGACCGGAGGAGGGCTAGGGTTAGGATCCCAAGTCTCTCTCTCTCTCTTTTTTTCTCCCTTTGTTTTTTTTTCTTATCCCACACGCGGATCATCTTTAGATGTGGACTGTAGAGCCCGCCAGCCAGATCCGGAACGGATTAAATTGAAACACACTCCTTCAATTCCCGGCCTCCTCAATTATATCACTCCAATTTGCTTTCACAAAATTTAGATTTGTGTTTGAAAAGTTCATGGTTGAATTATGATCAAAGGAAAGGGAAATATTGCTGTTAGGAAGGTAAAGAAATGACACATTTGTTTTGGAACGAACAAAAAGAGAAAACTGTGACGATTTGTCTGGGACGGATGGAGGCTGCAGTATCTAATTAAATCGAATCTGTAATGAACAAAAAAATTAAAATCTGATTTATAACTATAACACCGATATGATTCGAAAAAATCGAAACCGAATCAATTATATTTCAAAAGAGATTCGGCACCAATTTGATCCAATAGTGATTAGAATCGAACCCATTAAACACGAAACTAATCAAAATCGAGATCTGTTCAAAACCGAAACCAATCACATCTGAAAGTGACTGTATTCGAAATCCATCCAATCAAAAACTAAATAAAATCATGGCTCAATAGTACTCCCTCTGTCCCTAAATGATTACCAAAGTTTGCTTTTTTTTGTCAAATTGTGGCACTTTTTGACCACGAACAAAATATAGTTTAAAATAATTAAATACTCCCTCCGTCCCAAAAAGTTTGTTACGTTTAGAAAAAACTGCGTCCCGTAAAGTCCGTTACATTTCTATTAAAAAATCACTTTTACCCCTTACTTTTTCATACCATATCTATCACATCATACTTTTTTTCTAATAATCTACCCATCACATCCTACTTTTACCCATCACAACAAGGGTATTTTTAAAAAGTTAATATCAAAATACCCATCCCTTAATTTCCCAAAAAGTCAAACCGTCCCATTCTTTTTGGGACGGGGGGAGTATTATAAAAGTATGATATTTCAAAACTATATTTTAAAACAAACTCAATTTTTTTAAATTTACATTATAACCAAATACAGTATACTTTTTTCATAATTCGTAGTCAAAGGGTGGAATAGTTTGACTAAAAAATCAAACTATATCAATCTTTTAAGGACAGATGAAGTAATAAATTGACCGAATTGATTGATCCGATTGTTAGTCTAATTCAGATATATTCAAGTTGTGTTTTGAGCATGGGTGTTTTTTTGGTTAAATTATGGGTGATGGATTGGCGTTAAATTTAATTTTTTTTTCTAAAAATAAAAAGAATAAGGACGAGTATCATCTAAAATTACACTTTCGTTTTAGGGGGTGTATTGAATTAAAAGTCTGTAGGTCTTTAACAAGTCGGTGGATTTAGAAAATCCATGGACTCCATGTAGAGTTTTGGAGTTTATTAATTTTCATGGATTTTTATATACTTAAGGATATTTATTTATTGATTTAGATGGATTTTTGGTTCTATGTTTGTTCAATTTTTTGTTCATCCATATTGAATCAAACATCCCAATTTTTTAATAAATGCATTTTATTAGAATCAAGTGAAAATCAAATAAGCACCAAAATTTAAAAGAAATAAAAAACGAACAAGGAACACACAAATACATAATGAAAATCTCTCAAATACCACCAAGAAACACCAAAAAAGTGAGAAGCACGACTAAGGGCCTGTTTGGTAATAGCGTTAGCGATTAACGTTAGCGTTTTGAAAAGGCTATCTACGGGCAGCGTTTAGCGTTAGCGTTTTCAAAGTAATCTGCACCGTTAAAATCTTATCCAAAACGTTTACGCTAATCTCTAACGCTGTTCCCAAACAGGCCCTAATACCACCAAGAAACATCCAGAAATTTGGACATATGAACCAAACCATTGCTCAAATCAAATTACGGAGTATTTTTTATTGGAATGACAACTCAAACCCAGAATTTCAATCAGTAAATGAATTCGACCATGATCCCTAAGAAATTAGCCTTCAATCAAGTAAGAACCAGGTGAATTCAGAGCTGCAAGTTACGAGGTGAATAGTATTCTTTTATTTCGTCTCAATTCAATTTCATGTTCGACTTCATCATCGTCACCGAAATTTAACTGATTTAGATCATCGTTATCCATCATCTCAGTATGAGAACGTTTGGATGAACCAGCCTCGTCGCTTAACTTGTACGAAAAAATGTGTTCAAAGAACATTGCATTCCGTAACTTTATAATTGTGTTCTTGTGAATTCAGAATTATCTGATTTATACACCAAGAACCGGTACGACGTATTATTGTACCCACTGAAGATTCGATCAACTATCTTTGGACCGATCTTCATCTTCTTTGGTGGTGGTGCAAGTACTTTCGCGAGACACCCCCACACTTTGATATACTTATAGGAAGGTTTCCTATTATGCCAAAGTTCATACGGAGTTTTGTCAAGTTTCTTATTACGAGGTATTTTATTTAGTAAATAATTACTTGATAAAACAACACCCCCCCACATGTTTTGGGGTAATCGAAAACTAAGTAGCATCGTATTCATTATGTCTTTTAGAGTGCGATTTTTGCACTCCGCTACATTGTTAGATTGCGGTGTATAAGGTGAGGTTACTTCATGCACTATTCCATGTTGTGCACAAAACACATTAAGTGGAGCATCATACTCCCCACCTCTATCGATTCTCAATGCTTTGATCTTGTGATTGAGTTGATTTTCCACTTCATTCTTATATCGAATGAAAGTGTCTAACGTTTCATCTTTAGTTTTAGTAAACTGATATAGCAATATTTCATGCTATCATCGCCGAAGGTAATAAAGTGCTTATTACCCCCTCTTGAAGGCGTTGTTCGAAAATCACACAAGTCGATGTGAATCAACTCTAGAGGTTGAGTATTTCGTTCGATCGTTTGAAACGAACTTCGTGTCGACTTTGCCTCAACACAAGTTTCGCACTTCTGAGTTAAGTCAATACTAAACTTAGGAATGTGTTTCATGTTAATTAATTTTTGGAGAGATGCATAATTAACATGTCTTAGTCTACCATGCCAAAAACTAGAAGAATCACACACATAAGCAACAGGATTTTTATTGATCTATTCAAGAATAGTCATTGCATTTAATTTTACAAAACCATTGAAAATATACCCTTTCTTCCAATAAAATTAAAATCCCTTTTTTGGGCAAGATCAGGTTATCTGATTTAAACACCATCCGGAAGCCGTGTTTGATCAATAGTGACCGTGACACAATATTCTTTCAAATTTCTGGCACATACAACACGTCATTAAGCGTTAACTCTTCCCCGAAAGACAGTTTAAGCTTGATCTTACCGATCTCTTGGAGCTCTGATTGGGCCGAGTTGCCCATCCAAACCTTGTCAGCGGAGCAAATATGGCGTGTGGCTCCTGTGTCCACAAACCATTCCTTCAGGTTTGACCCGATAAGATTCACCTCGGTGACAACTACACAGAGGTCCAAGTTGTCGAGCTCTGCGCACATGGCTTCAGTTATCTTCTTCTTGTTCTTTTGTGGCTTCTTTTTCCTGCAATTGGAGGAACGACGCCCGGTGATGCCACAATTGTAGCACTTCGCCGCAAATTTAGAAATGCCACCCTTAGGACCTATTTTCTTTTTGTTCTTCCCGCCATGTGAGGAGCCTGAAGGATGTTCCACCACATTTGCCTTCGCCCCTCCACCTTTTCTGGCAAGCCCGTCCTCTCGGATTCTCAATCACGTGAGCAGTTGCTCCAGGTTCAGCTCAGTTCTTTTGAGCTTGAGATCGGATTAGAAGTCTTTCCAAGAGCGTGGAAGTTTGTGAATGATGGCTGCAACTTGGGAGGCCTCACTGACGCCTACCTTCTCTTTATTGCATTCGTTGAAGATTACCGTAAGCTCCCCAGCCTTGGCGACAACAGATTTGCTCTCAACCATTTTATAGTCTAGCATCTTTTCGACGATGAATTTCTTCGTGCCGGCGTCTTCAGCTTGATACTTCTTGTTCAAGTTGTCCCAAAGCTCATTGGCAAGCTTTGCATTGGCATAGACGGGGTACAACATCTCGGCCAACCCCTTGAGAATATAGTTGATGGTGAGATAGTTCTTGTGGTACCCATCTTGATTCACCAACGCTATGAGGAGGTCGTGTTGTAATTCGGCTGGGGAGGATCTTGTTGTAGGTACTCAGCAAATCCCAGAACGGTCAGAAAGAACATCATCTTTTGTTGCCACATTTTGAAGTTCGTGCCATTGAGCTTCGGTGGCCTTTGGACCGTGCTTGTGGCACTGAGATCGGCCCAACTGCATTGGGTGAATGGAGGAAAGGTTCATTCGAAGCCCAATGAGGCCTAACAAATGGATTGACCGGTGCGTTAAATCTCGCGCGCGCGTTCAGTTCTATGTTGATCGTTGTGGCCGAAGCCATAGTCGGTATGAGAAATGGGTTCGTATTACCAACGGAGTAACCCCCCATGGTTTTGAGCCCAAGAATGGGTCGAGGGGCCGACCCAAAGATCGAGCTCGACATCGAGAAAGAAGTCGTGGTGGCACCCCCCCCCCCACTTGACCCGAAGGGTAGCGGTGAGGAAGGCATGACCATGGCAACCGATGGAGTTCCCACCAGAGCTTCGGAACTCATTCCGTTGCCAGAGGAAGCCACGATGCTGAATCTGAAGTCCATTATACTACCTTAAGATTGTTACAATTATTACAACAGGAATAAAAAATAAAATGATACAAGCTAATAATACATTCGAATTTTATAATGAGAAAAAGAAAAAAAATTAATAAATAAAATTAATGGAAGCCGAAGGTTACCGGTGACTGGAAGAAACCGAACAGACACAAGGAACGAACAAACAGTGCCTTTACTAGAACAACCAAACTGCCTTGCCTGGGATGATATAAATAGAAACAGAGTAGTAAAGCTGAACGAAGAAAAATTCTTAAGGAAAGCAGAGTCGCCGGAGCTTTCCATAAGGTAGTATTGTCCGTCTCCCGCACTGGCTTACGTGAGGGATCTCCTCCCAGGATAAAACCGCTAGCGTACGAGATCTATAGCGATAGAACCTTGTGCCGACGAACGAGAATGACGAGGAATTACTTGCCGGAAAACTTATCGGAAGTGAGGGAGAGTTGGACGCAGAAAAATACAAGGATTTTGAGTGGATTTTTCCTGCTGCAAGGTGCTCCCTTTATATAGAGGAGAGCCTGGACAAGTGGACGGTTATGGACGGACAAACCGAGGGGTCACGCGGAGACCCTTCAATAGTGTGCATGCATGCCTTGAATTATCTTCGTCACTTTGTTTTTAACAAAATGTCCACACGTGTTCGATTTGGTCTTGTAAAAAGTTAAGGGGCGGCCCATGCCCTAATCACGACGCATCCTATGCATGCACGCACACGCACCACACATTCGCGTGCGCCGATGTGCCGAGCCAAACGGCACGGACGGCGGCGGCGGCGGTGCGTGAGGGCTCCTTTGGTTCTCCCTCCATAAATTGCTTTTACAATGTTATTAAAGTTAAGGGATCGGCCCACACCCTAGTCATGATGCATCTCGTGCACGCACGCACACGCCCCACGCATTAGCGTACGCTGGCATGCCGAGCCAAACGGAACGGATGGCGGCGGCGGTGCGTGAGGACTCCCTTGGTTCTCCCTCCATAAATTGCTTTTACAATGTTATTAAAGTTAAGGGTTCGGCCCACGCCCTAGTCACGATGCATCTCGTGCACGCACGCACACGCCCCATGCATTCACGTGCGCTAGCGTGCCGAGCTAGATAGCACGGATGGCGGCGGCGGCGGTGCGTGAGGGCTCCCTTGGTTCTCCCTCCATAAATTGTTTTACAATGTTATTAAAGACTAGCATATAAACGGATGAAGTTGAAGGGTTTCAAATTCGATGTGGGATACATGGGTTTTTTACCTTCCAAATGAGCGACTTTGTGAATTAATTTCTCATCCACCCGCACCAAATTTGCCGCACAATATATCGAAATGCTCGTCTCACTAATAATAATATTTTTCCATAATTATTTTGGAAAAATAATTTTGTAGACCCTACCAAATTTACGTCCAAAGTTGTTCTGTTACATGTTAAAATTCCGAACACGGTATGCATGGGATCATAATTCATACCATTGTACTTTTACTGAAATTAATGTAAACATTATTTTGAACACTTTAAATAAGAAAGCTAAGTGAACATATATAATATGAAATCAGATTACATACTCATCCATTTTGTAAAAAGATTTCATTTTTTTTTGTTTTTCCAAAAAAGTTATAATTACCTTTTGAAGAATACAAAGGGAATTGGTGACTCTTGGATTTCATTTTCTTGTATACAGATTCAATAATCACATAACTTTTAATTGCATACTCCATATTTGATCAATTGTTAAATCTTATCTTATGTGAGGCCAAGTAATTAGTACTGTATTAGGATATGAAAAAAGATGTCCTTTAGTAGGGGACATATGAATTGAAGTCCCAAAATTCAAATGTTGTAAGTTTGACGTGGTATTAATGTTATATATTTTTTCGTCTGTCTTAAAAAGTAATTCTATTTTCTACACTTGATAACATTTTTGTATCTGTATTTTTTTGCTGTACACTCTCAACTACGAGTATATAATTTTATTTTTATTAAACATAAAATTCAATCAATTATGAACATTATTACCTAATATAGGAGTATTAATTAGATCTATATATTGAGGTATGTGCAAATGTAGTACAAATACTGACCAAACCAAACCTGATACAGTATAGCTAAACAAAATCTTACTGCATGCATGCATGCCTATATAGATAGCCTACTCTTGTATGTGTACGGAATCGTTTATTAGGTACGTTAACTCAGTTTGGTTGTGAGTGACTGACTGACTGTTCAAATAATAATAATAATAAAAGGATTATCCCATCCCATCCTAGGGTTTTTCTAAGATCGGTTTGAGTAAAACAATAATCCTTTCGTCTAATAAAACTTTTCATGTTTGAAAAAAAACGTACCCTTACAACGAGTAATTTTGGAATTTTCTAACTTTTTCTTAATAAATAAAATGAAATATGTAGGATAGATGAGTTATAATTTAAAAAAAGATAACATTAAAATTATTCATTTTAAAATCACGCTTTTTTTCAAACAGGGAGTAATTAAATAGAGTTGTACTCCCTCCGTTTGCAAAAAAGGTTCCTATTTTGACTTGGAACCAAAATAAGGAAGTGTAAAATTATAGTTGACTTCCAATTTTGCTCCTGATGTGATAGGTAAAAGTAAGATGTTATGGATTGGTTATTAGAGAAAAAGTATGATGTGATAGGTAGGATATGAAAAAGTAAGGATAAAAATGGTTTTTTAATAGAAAGTGGAAGTGTTTTGTAGGAAGTGAAAAAAATGAAAGATGAAGTGTTTTTGAAAACGGAGGGAGTAATTAGTTATTCAAAATTCTTTTTGTATAACATCATAATATCAGCACTTTTGGGGGGTTTTTAACATCAATAGATATGTAGGATAGATGAAGTAATAATTTTGTCTAATTTTCTAAATTTGTCTTACTTTATAATAGACTAAAATGAAATATGTAGGATAGATGAGTTATAATTTAAAAAATAACATTAAAATTATTCATTTTAAAGGCACGCTTTTTTTCAAACGGGAAGTAATCAAATAGATTGGTAATTAGTTATTCAAAATTCCCTTTGTATAACATCATAATATCAGCACTTTAGGTTTTTTTAAGAGAAATTTACTTAAATAAGACTAAAACATAATGACTTTTTCAATATAGGACCATATGTTTTTATTTTCCAATGTAGGACCTTTGGTCATTATAAAGTAGTCATTATTCAAGTAAATGTCCATCATTACTGGACATTATTCCTCCCACTAGGTCATTATTAAGTCCTATTTAGAAAATAAAAAAGTTCAAGTCCTATATTGGAAAAGTGATTATGTTTTAGTCTTATTTAGTGCAAATTTCACTTTTTTTTAACATCAATGAATTGTTGATCTCAAATTAATGGTATATGTGTCTGCACACAACATACAATGCCCATATAATTAATGGGTGCATTTAACAAGTCTTGTTCTTCCCACGTAATGGTCTAATTGGTCTTGAGATGTTACTCTTTCCATTTTAAAAATCTTATCTCAGTTACTATTCTAAATTATTGAGATTTTTTTTGTATGTCTCATTCATTATTTCATATTGTTTTATCCGGAATAGAGTTTTTTATATAACTTTGAAATATGTAATTTTTTTTTTTGAAAACAAAAGTACTTATATTATCATCAACATTCAAAACGAATTAATACAAAACCACCAACCTCCACCAACAAAAACATGCTAGCCAAAAGTCCCCAAAACTAATGTCCATGACTCTTGTGCATAACAAAACTCTCAAAATTAAACTTTGCAAGTTCATCCAGATGGTCCCTTCAGACGTGGCCGCCAGACGGTTACTCAAAGGAGGTAAATTATACTCCCTCCGTCCTATATTTAACTTCTCAGTTTGACCGAAGATCATTTTTAAGGGAGTGTAAAAAATGCTTTGACTTTCCAGAAATGCCCCTCAACCTTTAAGCGGATGTAATACCAAATCCGTGGTAGCTCTGCAAACCAGACTTCATTGCCTTATCTCTTCTCTTCCCAGTTGTCTTTTTCGTTTAACACCTTCTCAAATTCATGGAAAACGGGTCAACCTTATTCATTGACTCAAATTGAAAGAAATGGTTTTAGCTTTTCGGTTTGGAGCATCGTTCCATCCCCTGATGATGGAAACAATTACAAAAGGGAAGCAAATTACCTTCAATTCCAGAATGTATCAAAACAATTTCTCGCTGGTCGTGCTTCTCTTGGATCTGTGAAGATCCAGTTGGGATATGGGAAAACGGTGACCGCCATGGTGGGATACATCAAGATCTGTGCCCTCCTCACCATCGTAGGCCCCTTCACATTGGCTCTCAGTTTTGGGAATAATGGAGATCAAGGAATGAAACGATCATTCTCTAAATCCAATGGGAGTGAAATGGAGAGAGGACCTGGGATAGAGTTCTTGAGATGGTGGTGAAATGGGAGGAAAGATCAGATTTAGAATTCTTTAGGCCGAAGGGCAAATGTGTCATTGAAGAAGTGTAAAGTTGCCTTTTTTAGAAAGTGAGAAGATAATTTCAGGACAACCCAAAAAGGAAAGTGAGAAGTTAATTTTAGGACGGAGGGAGTAATTTAATCGCAGATGGGTGGCAAACAATGGAGCTTGCACCGGGTACTTACTGAGACCATATTCTTAGTATAGTTGCATCACAGCGTAACTGTCAAGAATTTAATCGAACTTGTGTCTAACCCCTTAATTAACAATCGATACCCTTTGTCAACTGCGTAATGTCCACCGACTTTAAGAGTCTTTTCAAAAAAAATCTTTGCTTGGAAGAGAGGAGTAGGTACGATACAATAATGGCGCCTATATGTATGTTTATTTGTAGGTGTGTTCATTGAGTTGAGTGATGAAATTGTCATTATTATATGGATGCATTTCACAAAACTTCTTATGTCATCTTTTTCCTCATCTCATTTGCTTCCCCTTCTGAGTTTCCTCCCATTTGTCTCCCACAAATGTGTCAATTTCCCCCTTTTATTTCACTTTTACGTCCAATCCCCTTTCTTTTCCTTTTCCTCAAGCTATTTTAATTACTTCAAGATCTAAAATATTAATAATGACGGCCAGTACAGTACAGTGGTCCATTTCACAGTCGATCTTTTTAATTTGGCATGAACTGTGGCCAAACACAATGCATAGAATTGCAAGATCGGCCGGCCTGTGTTCTACAATTATAATAGCACTATTAATTTGTCACTCCCATTCTTAAATCATATATAGAGTAATTAAATAAAGGAAATTTACCTAAATAGAACTAAAACATACGGAGTATATAATGACTTTTCCTAAATAGCATCATATCTGTTGTTTTTCCCAATGTAGCACTTTTAGTCATTATCCGTTAGTCATTATTCAAATAATTGTTCGCCATCACTAGACATTATTTCTCCTTCTGGATATTATTAAGTGTTATTTAGAGAATAAAACAATTTAAGTATTATTTAGATAAATGACTTAAGTTTTAGTGCTATTTAATGCAAATATTTTATTAAATAAACCATATATAAAGTCGCACGCATGGATAACTCAACTGGTCTAAGAAGAGGATGTCAATCCCATAAATTGCGGGGTCTTGGGGATTCCTCCTAGTCCCACACCGGATGTTTAGGAGTAATTGAACCAAAATATATAGGTTCACCCAACCTCATTAGTATGAGGCCTTTTGGAAGTGCCCAAATACAAATCCGTGAGGGCTTGACCCAGAGCGGACAATATCATACAAATGCGGGGTTGGGATGAGGGCACGCGCAATCCCAACAGAATCCTGGCAAAAGATGTGTGAGATTTCTATCCTTTGTAATAGCTCCCTGTGCACACCCAGGCACGTGATGACCTCTCTTAGGTCTACTCCCTCCGTTCACCAAAATACTTCATCATTCATTTTTTTCTTCCACCAAAAACACTTCCACCTTTTATTAAAAAATCATTTTTACTCCTACTTTTTTCTCACCCTTTGTATCATATCATACTTTTTCATTAATAGCATATCCATCACATCTTACTTTTATCCATCACATCAAAGACAAAATTGGAAAGTCAATTACAATTTAATCATTCCTTATTTTGGCCTTTTCTCAAATTAGGAAGTGTTTTCCCAAACGGATAGAGTATATGTTATACCATGATTTACTTTCTCACTATCCTATTAAGCCTGAGTGTGAGTGTACCCGGGGTGGGCGTTCCACCCCATAATTAAACCATAGAGTAAAGTAGTACGGCCTGTAACACCCTAATCTGTCGAGGTCTGCAGCCCCTTTTAGATTAAAGTATTAACTTGGTAATCGTAAAAATTTAAAACATTTCAAACACTTTTATTTATCACAATAATATTTTTCATAATATAAATAGTACGGAGTTTTCAATATTGCGGAAGCTTAACAATCATAATCACAAACATAATTTATTTATGTTCTTTAATTCAAAATCATCACATCCATTCCGACAATCTCGCCTCCGTCTGCCTCCAGGATCACGACACTTCATTAACCTGCGTGTAGCAAATAAAACATACTACACGCTCAGCGTTGAAGCTGAGTAAGCATATCTAATGCATCGAACATCCATATAAACTGAATCTAAATTCATAATCAAATCATTTGATATCATGCACATAATGTTCAGTTCAGATAATCAATAATTATTAAAATTATTCATCATGCATTATTCAACATTTATATTCACATTCAATGTTCATCAGTCATTCATAATAATTGCAATATTCAATTCAATATTCATCATTCAATATTTACTCATATTCAATATTCAATATTCAATATTCAACAATATTCTTAAACTATTCTTAGTCTAAGGCCAATCACCTTAATATTTGTCAACCCTTAAACGAATTCTAGTTTAAATAATTAAACTATATTCCAGTATAAAATATTCCTAAATAATCCTTAAGCTAGGCCTAGTTTAAGATAAAAGGGTTTTGAAAATCTTAAACTTACCTTCACTTAAGGCCAACCAAAAACCGACAGCGTAGTGTTCACTGTTGGGTGGGTGGTACCCCCAAACGAGTAGGTACTCAAGTTTGGTTC